ATATATTTTTTGAATTTAAAATTTAGTTAAAAAATTGATGTAAAAAATGACGAGCCGGTGAGCCGACGACTTGTTTTGGAAGAGCTCGCCCAAAAAAGCTCGGCTCGTTGGCAACGAGCCAGCTAGCACGAGCCGAGCTCGTGTGAGTATGGGCCGAGCCGAATAACCGAGAAGAGGAAATTAATTGCTAAGGGATGATCAGATAAATGAGTCGATAACTTTTCAATGAAAGAATACAGAAAAACTGTACTAGAAACACCGAGAAAAACAGAATAAAATCGGCAAAAAGTGGAGTCTTACAACTCGTATGAAGCTATCAGATTTTGGCTGCAGAAGAGCCGTACTTTTCGCCAATTCAAAAGATTAATCATTTCACTTTTTAAATAAAGTAAATATTTGGTAGAGTTAAAAAATTTAAGTCAAAATTAACAATTAATTTTTATGACACTTTTCACGAGATTCACAACTTTTCAATCACACACGTTCCATCATTTTTTTTTATCAAAATTTACTAAAAATCTGATTTTAATTTTAATCTAAACCAAGCATGGGCAAAACATGGAGAAAGTCTAAAGGCTGAATGTTAGAGAAAAGCTTCGACTGAGTATCAGATGTTGCACCCCCCATGGACATTATGTACAGCCTCATTCTCAAAGCCAGAAACCTACAAGATCTTCCATGGGGGAAACTTTATTTTCCATAGACTTGTGGGTGGAAGTCATGGTGTACCTGGGAATTGGAATGATATCCGTAATCAAGCTCAATACGACAGAGAAACAAACATTAAGCTCTTGTCGAAGAAGAATTTAACAAACATTGAGACAGGAAAGGTGTTAACGACTTATAAATTACAATTGCAAAAACAACAGAGATAACTGCCTATATTGCTTGGTAACTAGGAGCTACCAACACTCTGGGATTCCAGGAAGCTTTAATGGTGTCATAGCTTAACTTCATGAACCTAGGAGAGAGTGACTGACGACTCAGTAGTTGAAAAATTTTCTGCTGCTCTTGGCTGTAAAAAATAGGGTTTTGGTGGGATTTGAAGAAATTCCATGTTCCCTTCTAACATTTCTATAACCCTGCTCATTGATGGTCTAGTTGTAGGATCAGTTTGTATGCACCATAAGCCAACTATTACCATTTTCCTTATCTTCAAAAGTTCATCTTCGTTTGCAACTCGGTTAAAATCAAGTTCAGAATTCTGTTCAAGGTGCTTATAGATCCAATCAGGAAAATATTTTTCACTTGAATGATCAACTCTAACATTAGTATTTTTCGTCTCTCCAACCATTTCCAAAACCATCATACCATAGCTATAGACATCTGACTTGTTAGAAATTTCTCCAACGTTTCTATAAACTATTTCTGGAGCAATGTATCCTATTGTTCCTCTAGCACCTAGCATTGACACTTTACTGGATCTGTTAGGGCAAAGTTTAGCCAAGCCAAAATCTGATATTTTAGGGATGAAGTCTTCATCCAGAAGAATGTTATGAGGCTTTATATCGAAGTGCAAAATCCGTGTATTACATCCTTGGTGCAAGTATTCTATTCCTTGAGCAATGCCAACTGCAATTTGAAACAATTTTTCCCATCCTAACTGATGTTCTGCTATGGAACTATTGCAGCAAATGAACTTCTCAAGAGATCCATTGGGCATGAACTCGTAAATGAGAGCTCTTTTGGAACCCTCAAAGCAAAATCCCAGGAGAGTGACAACGTTGACATGGGATGTTCTACTGATACTTGCAACCTCATTGATAAATTCTTCTCCATTGCCTTTCGATTCTTTCAAAATCTTTACTGCTACAAGATGGCCATCAGGCAACTTTCCTCTATACACACTAGCAAACCCGCCTTTCCCTATGTTGTCACTGAATGAGTTAGTCATTTTCTTAAGATCAGAATAGTTGTATCTTCTTGGTGTAAGATTCTCAATTTTCTTCAGGAAGAGTTCAATGTCCTTATGGTTTCGCGTTTTTCCCTTCAAATTCAGCATGTACTTCCACCTGTTGAAAGTGAACAAGATTATGGAGATGAGGACTACCGCTGCAGATGAAACACCTGTGATGAAAAAAGACAACTATGTTTATAAATCAAAAAACAAAAGAAATGGTAATGAAATTCGGAAGAATTACCTGCAAGTAAAATCAGTTTCAATTTAATCCTTCCGGCAGCTGAAGTCAAAACACATGTTAGATTAAGCAAATTTTATAAAAACAAGCTGGCAACTCTTTTTCTTGAGTGTACTCTCTCCTGCATGTAAAATCTTTATAGGGCATGAATACGTGATTTCCATACAGTCGAAATAAATTTATCTGGAGTCAAGATTTTCTGTCAAATTGCATGTTATACTTGTATCAAAAGAAAACCACTACTATGTAATTCAACAAATTTTGTACCATGTAAATGGTTTAGATTCTATTAAATTTGAGATCGCTTGACCTCTATAGATTACAATGCTAAAAGACAAAATTTTATTTATCTTAAATATTTCTTATGGGAAAAGTCATGGGTGAATAGACTTGTTTTCATAGAAAAGGAGACTTATTTTCATATCTTAAGGTAGACTTGTTTTCATAGAAAAGGAGCGTGAATAGACAAAGTGCGGACAAAGCAAAATTCCAGAGCGGAAACAAAGATGCTAAGGTGGATACATGATTATGCTAAATGAAAAGTATAAAAAAGGACAATGAATTATGAGAAGGGTGTCATAGGTGATTGAGACATGTATTTAGTCGGGCAAGATTTCTACTTCTTGTAGAAGGAATCTACCTTAATTAGTGTTTT